GTCCGCCGCGCAGCCGCCCCTCGCCGGCGGGGGGGGTACTAGCCTCGACGAAACGGGCCTTACCAGTTGTTGAACTCGTTTTGAGTCGGGCATGTCCCCCTTCAGGAGGAAGATCGGGTATGGGGATGATTTCTATATTTTTTGTTTGTTGTATGTTGTTCGACAATGTTTCATGTTTTTTTCCAGAATCCGTCTGTACGAGGACATGCCCGACCCAAAAATAGTTGTAGTTTGTTTCGCCAGAGAAGAATGAACTAGCATCACTAGCTAGGAAGGCTGGCCGCGCCCCCCCCCTCTCGAGCTGGTGGTACCCCGTTCGAGGCGCGCCCCCAGAGAGTGCCCGGAGCGGAGTGCCACCAGCTCGGGGGGGAGGCCTTTGGGAATGGAGTTCTATGGAGTTTTGGTGGTGGTGGCGGCTCTTTTTTACCCTCGAGATTCCCAGACATGGAAACGAGCTCTGCGCATTTAAGGTTTAAGAGCCAAGAGCTACTTCTCGGCAATTACAGGTCAAGCTGGAGTGAGAAAGATCAGAGCGCTCCTGGGGGCCGCAGTTGCTGTGAATTCTAGCCGCTTCGCTCAACCCCACCAGCCCATCCAGAAACGATGCCCAGACGAGATGTCCTGATCAGGGATGTGGATTAAAGGGCTGAATACGACGTCATACCCCAAGAGGGGGAGGATGGAGGGGGAATCGGGGGATCAGGAGGAAGAGGATAATGATAATGAGAATGAGAATGAGAATGAGGATAAGGATGAGGATGAGGATGAGGATGAGGATGAGGATGATGATGATGATGATGATGATGATGATGATGATGATGATGATGATGATGATGATGATGATGATGATGATTATGAAAAAAGAATGAGGATGAGGAGGAGGAGGATGAGGAGGAGGAGGAGGAGGAGGAGGGGGAGGGGGAGTGGGGAGGAGGAGGGAGGAGGAATGGGCAGGAATAGGCGCATGATGTTGATGATGATGATGATGATGATGATGATGATGATGATGATGATGATGATGATGATGATGGTGATGGTGATGGTGATGGTGATGGTGATGGTGATGGTGATGATGATGATGATTATGATGATGATGATGATGATGATGATGATGCTGATGCTGATGCTGATGCTGGTGATGATGCTGCTGATGATGATGCTGATGATGACGATGATGGTGGTGATGGTGGTGATGATGATGCTAATGATGATGATGCTGATGCTGGTGATGATGATGGCTATGGTGATGATGATGGTGATAATGATGATGATGGTGAGGGTGACGATGATGATGCTGGTGATGATGATGATGCTGATGATGATGATGATGATGATGATGATGATGCTGATGATGATGATGGTGTCTATGGTGATGATGATGATGATGATGATGATGACGATGATGGTGGTGATGCTGATGCTGATGATGATGCTGATGCTGGTGATGATGATGCTGATACTGATGCTGATGATGATGAGGAGGAGGAGGAAGAGGATGAGTAGGAAGAGGAGGAGGAGGAGGAGGAGGAGGAGGGCGAGCAGAAAGGTCAGACGCCTCTTTGATGCCTCTGGGAGTTTCTTCGAATTTCTTGCAAGAGCTTCTTGGAGTCCTCTTGGGTGTCTGGGGGGTCTGGTGGCATACTCGGGGTACCTCGGGGCGTCTTGGTCTTGGGTACCTCTGGGGAGCATCTCGGGGCCTCTTGAGGGGGTACTCGTTGGAGCCTCGGGGGCCACCTTGGGCCCATCTTGGATGAGATCGATGAAAGGAGGGGCCGCCCCCCCCGCCAGGGACCAACATGTGGCCAAAACCTAGGCAAAATCAGTGATTTGGGCATTCTCGCCGAGGCCATCCTGGACGCGCTAGCTACCCGCGACCCCCCCCCCTCCAGGTTCAGGGCGAGGGGGCAGGGGAAGGGGTCAAGCTACCCACCCGCCCGCAAGGCGTCTAGCTCACTCCCACCCGCCCTCCCAACACATAAGTGACACCCGAGCTTGAGCATGTTCAGCGGTTGTCTTTGGATGGACAGCTACTGGGAACCAAAGCCGACCCCAGGTGCGCGACGTTTGGGCGAGGTGCGCCACGCACGCGTGCCAGGGGTGCCACGCGCGCCATGCATCCCTGGGGCCCGAGCGTGCCATGCACACCTGGTGCGCCAGATGCGCCACGTGCTCCGAGTGCGCCAGGTGTGCCGCACACTCCAGCCGCGCCAGGTGCGCCACGTTCGGGGCACGTGTAGAGTGCGTCAGGTGTGCCTGTGCACGTGACAGCACATCGTGAAACTTGTCGGCCCTCACCATCCTTGTCGAAAATCAATTCCCATCATTGTGTCTGGTGGGGCCGCGCACAGCAGGCCACGCGTCATCACCCCTGCCGTCCCTGTCTAAAGCCACTTAACAGTGATCGCGGGGTGGCCGCGCATGATCCAGATTTAGCCGCGAGGTGCATTTTGTATTGTTTTGTTGTCAGGGATGGTAGCCCTGCGTGCAGCATGGAATCTGC